ATACCAGGCGCTGACCGAGGCATCTCGTCAAGAGCCCTGTACCGCGACAATATTCATTTCTTTCATGACATTGCGAATCACCATGATCCGAAATGAGCCCGGTAAGAAATTCTGGAGCTTGCGGCAAGATTTCTTTCCTCTCTTAGCGTAATCCCCTGGTCGAGCTGTAAATGACTGCTACCTATCCTGGACCTTTAATCATCATCTTGATGGCGAAATAATTAGACGATCAACTCCAACTCGAAAGTGAGGTCGCCCTCTTTCCTCCTAATATAAACTCGTTTCTGCACTTGTAAAGCCACAATAACTGTCTTAAGCCATCTACAAGCCATGGTTTTCCACGAGTTCCTACAAAAACCATATTCGGCGTCCACTATGTCGTGGACAAACCTGCATTTAAGTAAGTCACTTCCAAGGGGAATCTCGTTCTGTATGCCCGACTGCTGACTTCTTACCGGATTTACCATGACCATTTAGGTTTACGCTTTCAACTGCAGAAGTTGGGCGACGCATTCGAAGGAAGTACCCAGAACTCAAAAACTTATTCTTCACGAGAACACCGACTGCATATTTTGAAGCGTCCGTCGGAATATTATTGAACTCAAATGACTGGTACCCTGTTCAGCCTACGCTAGAACTAGCCCATCGCCGATGATAACCTCGTTGGGGTTTCCAATATTACGCTCACGAGGAAAAAAATCTAGGGATCACTTGGAATTTGAAAATGTGATCTGTAACTTCCTTGACTTCTCACCAGCCACCGTTTAGGGCTTCAGGAGCAATCTGTCGCATTTGTGGGCTCACGCTCAAGACTATTATGGCGAACGTGATTGAGATCTAATGAAAATATTAGTCTTTGGGAAGAATTCGAAATTGCGATGTCGGCGCTCCCCTCAACCTAATATTCGGAATGCATCCTTGCGCATTAACACAAAAGTTCTACTCAAAAGCAAAGCTTTTCGTCTTTGAGAAATTGGGCAGATTTCATGCCCCTGAAAAAGCCTATCATCATTACTGTAGGGTTATTTGCATTCGGCACAGATTCGTTTAAAAGATTAATTTCACCAATTTCAAATCAATTTTTCATCGCCGATTGCCAAATTCTTTTCTATCAGATCCAAAGGCTTCTCAACAGACATCTTCGGTCAACTGTTTGCCAGCACCGGCAATGACCACTGACGCCGCGAATGACTTAGCAGAAAAACGTCCTGATTTCCTTCATCGACTTGTTGGTTTATTTACCCACGCTCACTCGAGCCTTCCCTATTTGTCTTCACGGTCGCTCACGAAGCTACCATCTCCTCCTCTACACTTGGACAGCTCAAATATCAACAAACCTCGGTAAACGTGAGCTTTCCTTTCAAAAGTTGTCTTAATGAATCTTCCGCTAGACCTCGATTTTGTTACGATTTCTAGAAAACTCGTCGGGTTTATCACTGATTGACGTATGAACGGCGGATGTAGGGGAAGATAATTTACATAGTAACCAGTTCCGTCCTCTTTACGATTCACCTCCGATCGTTTTCAATTCGGGCGTCGGTGTGTTTGAGTGTCAGTTTGCGTCCTCCTCTCCTCTCGCGAGAACCCGTCGAATGATCGCCGTCGACAATCGCTGTGACCAAACCGATAAGCGTTTAGCCCATACGACGTCACGACTCACTGCAATGACCATCTGATGGCGTCGTTTGAAGCTCTAGCATTGCTCTGCACGATCAACCTCGACACAGACGTGTTCCGTGATGCCGTGCACAGAAAGGAGAAAATCAATCAGGTTGATCTCACTATTCTTTAGAAGTTATCAATAGCTTTTGGCAGTGCCTTTTACGCTCATTGTGACTTGCGACCTCAAATGTTTTGCTGGTGGTGTCTGAACTAGAACGGTCTCTCGCCGACGCTCCCAGTAACTCGCGGCTATTTCTTGTGTATTATAGATGTAGGCTGCTTTATATTGGTTGATGCATAATTATTGCGACTTTTTCAACAAATTTTATTCAGCGAAAACGATAAAATATTTAACAAAAACATGTTTAAATGATTATTCCGGGCGTAGTCACCATCCTTCAAGAATGCTTCCCATTTGCTTGGCAGTCGGTCGATTCCACGGGTGAAGAAGTCACGATTCTTGTAGACGACCCCCGCTCTAACATCGGCCACTGAGTCAGCCAGCTTGTCGTAAATTCTGTTCGTTTGCCAGTTTTTCTCGAGGACTGCTAGCCTGTAGGCGCTTCGGTCGGTGAATATGGCGTTTTGAACCTCTTGAACCATCTTTCAACTTGGCTTTTGCTGAATTGTTCCCTCGCCGAAAAGTTCGTTGAGATCGCGAAATGACTCTGCCGCCTTCCAACCTTTCTCGAAGTGGTAGAGCATATGTGGCGAATATGTAAGATGATTTTTTGATAAGCATTTCTGTTAGTATTTTAGTTAGTTAGTGAGGAGAAGGATATTTTCATGAGAAAATAATAAACAAAACGCCAATCTTCTTGGAAAAAGAAGGCGCGTAAAAAGCCGCAATAATTATGCATCAAACCAGTAGTTTGAGCTCTAGTTCTCTAGTTCTCTAGTCTCTAGTTAGTCTCAGAATTCAGTTGTAAGCTACACTGCGCTATCTCGCCATCTCGTCGCGCGTGCTATTTTCATTTTTATTTTTACACACAAATTTGAAGCGGAGAACAAAAGTATAAAATTAACCAGTGATTTCACTCTGTCATTATTTACGACTTTGACTGCATTTCGCAGGGTATGAATGGATTCAGAATAAAAAAAAGATATCGAGCTCGTTTCTGATACCTCATTTTTATCAATTTGTACGCAATATATGGGTTTGAGTTCAACAAAAAAAGCTTGGATCGGTTTGAGCAAGGACCATTAAGAACAATGGAATCTGAAGAAGTTCCGTTTCGGCGTTTATTTTCATTCACGTGAACCGAAAAAAAGCAGCTGTCGAAATGCCGATTTCTGCCAGCTGGGATTTGAAACTTCTAGGCGCTATATCTGATTACAGTTGTAATTTTGAGAAAAACTGCAAACAACATTTGTAGAAATGAAAAAGTGCTACCAAATGATGTACGCCTTTTTTGGTGGTACTTGTATTATTTGGATTTTTGCGCTCTAAAAAACGCTACCACATTATGTTCCAACCCAAAACTGGACGCTGCTGTACGTCATCCAGGCGCTCACCATTAGGGAACGCTTGGTTGTCGGACTTTTTATGATCGATTTGAAACTGACCCGTCACCTCTGTTATTTCTTTCTGCGGTGCCAATAATGAGACTTCAGAATTTCAGTGAACTCAAGCGCCTAGGCTCCTTCTTTTGATGAATTTGCCTTTTAGGCGCCAGCGCCGAAATTAAGGGTATTCGTGATTTGAGCCAGCAGTGAATCCTCTAGAAGAAGCCCAAGTGGAAATCCTCTGCTCTGACGTTTTGAATTGTATAGGGTGAACTGAAATTGGTCGACTTGTTTCTTCTGGGCTGGCCCAAATTGGCTGTTGTATGAATGTTTTTCTCATTGGTTCATTGCAGGAAATCCAAATCGTTCCAACAGAAACTTTATGCAAATCCCGTACTTCGGCACTGACGGCCATTGGCGTGCCTCAGTAGCTTTGAGGTTGACCGCATTGTGCTTCTTGTTTTGGTCATTGAATGTGCAAACAAATGATTTGACGAGATTCTGGGCACATTTCTCCCCTTCCCGCTTATCTTGGGCGAAACATTTTGATTCTAGGCCTCTTCCAAGATGTGAATCGAGAATACGAATCATCAGTAGTGAATAGCCTCCTTGTTATTTTATATTCATACTTATTATTTTTATTTTATTATATTTACCAGGGTTAGGACAAAACGCAATTCAGATCTCCACATATTGCTAGTCCAATTTATGCTTGTTAGATATGTAAGCGTCAAAGAAAACTGTTAGTGGCTGAGTATCGCAGCGCCATGATTTCGCTTTCTCTTGCAACTTGCGAATAGAATAAACCAACAGAGACATTACGATTACCCACTGGCATAAACTTGAAAAGAGGCAGATGATCTCCTCCGATCTTTTTCACGAAGTGAGAGTATCATCTGGTCGTAATGGAAGCTTTTTCAGGCCACATCGACGATTCTCAGCGTAGTTCCGGCGATTTCGATTGTGTCGTTCGTGGCTTGCATCATTCTTTGTGCTCTGATTATTTTCGCCCTCGTCCGACGACGGCTTCCATCTAGGAAATACAGGTATAATCTTACTGCATTCTACTTACTTATTGCTTTTCCAAAGTATTATATTATATCAAGACCGAAATGAAGATGAAGTAAATTGGCTATTACATTGTTCTCTGCGCTAGAAATGCTAAGGACACCTCAACATTTAGGATAAGGGCAGAGGAGGGGGGAGGGAAGGGGGGATGATAAGACGCAAACGACCCTTCCGAAGTGTGCTTTTTGACGTGTACCGGTTAAGGGTCCTACATATCCTATTCGCATTTTCCAGTTCCTTGTACATGGTCACTGGCCCGCCCACCCTGGAGCTCTTTCTCCCACTACTATGCAAAATTGGGCTATCCCCTATCTCATCAGTTGTTACACTCTTGCTCAGCTTTGTTTCTTCGCGCCATTCGCTTCATTCTGGCCATCCTTATCGAGAGATATGCCTCAAGTCTATCGCTAGTGTTCTTAGTGGTCTTGTATTAATGCTTATGGTTAGAGATGCAAAACGCAAGGAAATAGCTTCCTCTAACTTAATTTTCACCATTAAAATATGTTTCAATGAATTCTGATGGAATTACCGCTGCAGCCAGCATACACCCTCCGATGACGACATGAAATTTGTTGAGATTTCCAGTTGGAAAGACTTGTTGTGCAGTATTTGATGCCGTATTATTTATCCCAAAACCACATATCAGAGTACACTTGGACGAAGTTTGACTGATTGAAATCAGGTTTCACAGGGTCATGTGGGAATCGCAGCACGCCATAATACCTTAGTGCAGTGTTGACATCGAGGCCTCTTTGTCGCTTGATACCTCCTGCACTCTCCTGAACGCCTTAAGACCTGGGTGCAGCGAAAAGTGGAAATGGCTCTCCGAAAGAGATCGTAAAGGGACGAAAGAAGGGAATTTTACCAAGAATTTTCATAGACCGTCGTAAAAGAACCGCACGTGCAAGGTATAGTCAACTTGAAAATGATGATTGCATGAGGGATACGCCGCGATTTACTCAATGAATAGAATTTTTCTAGTTGTTTTGGAGAAAAAGCTTTTACTATAGGAATTCTTCCAAAGAAATAGGCGTCTTCGGCTTCTGATAAGACATTGCTATTCAGCTGCGGACGTATTTCGCTGCCCTTTGGTGCTTCTCATCCTTCGATTGTTGTCCACCAAAGTATGAAGTATTCTCCGCCAGCGCATCTTGTTGAACCCGGAAATCGTTCCAAGACTGCTTTTCCAGCTAGCATCGAATTGCTTAGCGGAGTGGACGAAAAGTGAAGGCTGAGTGAAACTTGGCAAACATTGCAGTGACACTGGCTACTCGACGTTGAGTGAGGACAGCAAACACCTCTCAAATGCATCCCTTTTCGAGCGAACCCAAGCACTGATGGTCAAAGAGTCAAAATTCGTAATATTTCGGTTCATTTACTTTGACTGGTTTGAAAGTAACGAAGTATACAGGGGGGGGGGCAAAAAAAAGACATTTTGCCTATGTCGGACTTCGGCTCTTTTTTCTTCGCAGAGATTGCTGTCGTTGACGGGAGTTCCTCAGCAGATTCCCTAAGTGTTCCTCTATTAGTGTACGCAGGCTCTCCTTCACTGCCCTCACCGTCTTCAGAATATGACGTCATCTGTCACCGTCGTCAGGCTCAAGGAGGTCTACCGTAAGAGCTTCAGCCTGAAGCTCTTACGCAATTTCGTGAATCGATTTAATGTTGGATAGTTTTCTAGAGGCATTAGCTACCACTGTGCAAATCCCCTCGGAACTAGCTTTCCAGTAAGGGTCGTTATGGTACACGATCCTTCGAAGACCCCATTGAGATCGACCAGTGCACCATGTTTCCAGGGCTAATTCTTCTGATGCCGTCCGTTATGAACTTCGGTGGCCATTGATATATTTATAGAGGAATGCAAGTGCTATAATATATTATAGAACCGTCTATTTGAAGTAAAATGTTGCTTAAATCATTGAAGTGCGAGGCAAAATGTCGGTTTTTGTTTCCTCCCCCTTTATGAAGCAAGGCGGAACCTGTAAAAGAACCCTGCCCATCGGTCTCTTTTACAGAAAAAAACGCTGCCTACTGTGGAACCGATCAACTCTCCATAAATCTGGGATGAAAAAGAACGAGTTTATATCGATTTCCCATTTTTCCATCAGATTTGTCATCCAAAACGGAACCATTGTTGCCATTGAATGAATGTGGCAGGTTGGTGTCAGCCGAGTGACTATGTAAGAGACCAGCTCATTTCTCCTATCGCTCTTTCCAACACACAGAATACTGTAAAAATTGAAAGTTCTTGGAATTTCATTCCTATTTCAATAACTTGTAACGAGTTCATGCCAGGAAATGCTCTTGCGTGCACGTTAAAGCAGTGATCGCAATGGCTGGGAGAGTGGTTCGATTTGATGACGTTACTGAACATCCTTGGGGGACTAACATTGAGCCCACTGATCACGCTGGAGTGTGCTTGCGACCGCCTCGTAGGCCCTTCCACCAATGACGTTCAAGGAGGTCACCAAACCGCAGCGTCCTCCAGCCATCTTATCACTGCCTTCAATTATTTCGTTTGGAATGATTCTTTCTTTCTTAACATGCCGCTATCAGGAAGGTACGATACTGCGTACCTTGCGGTTGCGCGGTATTAGCGTGGGGAAGAAGTGGATCAGTTAAGCGCGATTATTTTACTCGGAAGTCAGTTAATAATAAGAAGGAAATGCGATCACTGGAGGGCTGAAAATAAGAATGTCCTTTCTTAGGATGTCTGTTTGACTGAGGCGGACAGTCTGTCAGACTATAAGGCACTGTACGGAAATGAAAGATTGGACATGCGAGACCAAAGAACATTGTAAGCAGACGTGCCGCCATCGATACTGTCTAACAAGCCGCACTAAGCGGATTCTAAGAGCAAAGAGATTTCTTGTCTTTGTTTTGGGTTGGTTCAGTAGACTACAGCAGACTTTAAGGAGCTTAGAATTTGAGTATCGCAGCCAGATTTCGCTTCCTGCGACGAGTTCGGCGATGATGTATGAAAGCACGTTGATCAATGCAAAAGAGGCTTTGTAGAAGCATCATTCACATATGTGCGTTGTCTCAACCACGTCCACTCTCCTCATTAGCCAGCGAGAAGAATAAAATGTAAATCATGTGGCCTTTTTGAGACGCACCATGCATTTTATTATACTTCCATTGCCAATGGTCGAAAAATAGCTCATGAAAATGAGGAGAGCCTATGTACAAATCTATCGAAGTTGGCCTCTAACAATTTCTCAGGCAAGGCTGGCGCCGTTTAACCGACCCCGAAAGGATGGAGGTTTTGGTTGACCCGAGCGGAGGCCGATCGAGGGTCGATCCCCGAGTATGTGCGTGAAAAACCAAACTAATTACCAAAACACCAATTCTGTTTAGTCAATAGCAACTGCTTGTTGGTTATGGAACTTTCCAACAAATGAGTTTGTGTTTGCAGCGTCGTGTTGAGTCGCACAGTGGCTGATGTCTTCTCGTGTTCGCTGTTGTGTGCTGCTTCGTTCATGGCCAATGAATATTCGGCATCCTACACAATCCTCGCGCTCTTCCTATGCGTCGCTACTTTCGGGTTCATCAACCTCAGCCTTTCACATCTCTTCGTTATTGCTTTACGACAGGTAACCTTCTAATTGAGACTGCTCAAACAGAGTGACGCATACTAACATTTCTGTGTTGTTACATTACAAGGCTAATTAGTAAGAAGATGATATAGAGGTCAAAGGTTTCATAGGCTAAAGGGATCCATTATGGCTGGAGGGCGGTGCGATTTCGATGACGTCATTGGACGTCATTGGTGGACCACACCCCACGACGCTTCGGGCGATGAGTTAGGACCAGGGTCAACCGTCCGTTCGAACTGTTCGAACGAAGGGGTCGCATTTTGGTCGGAAGGGGGTCGCAATTTCGAGGACTGCCAGCCACAGGCGCGTGCGTGGCGTATCCGAGGGCAAGAATTGCTTGTGCAGACCGCATTAGATTCGATTATTATGCACAGAGAGACAGTTTTAGGCAAATTACGGTGTTTTCCTTGAGGAATAAAGAACAGTTGAATGCATCCCTATGAAAGGTTTGACTTCTCGGGGCTGAAATTAAAGTTCTTCGGGACCTATTTTCTGAGGACGATTCTTCCAGACAACGGTAAAACATAAGAAAGCAGAAATCTCGTAGTCTTCAAAAATGTCTTCGCCCCTCCCCAACAAGTTCTTTGAAGGAAGTTATTATTGCTGAAAGCTCAAAAACTCGCATGTGCTGCTCAAAAACCTATGGGAACAAAATGTTCGAACGTGTGATTTTCTCGGAAAATGGATTTTGAAAAACGGTTTGGTGCTTGTTAGAAAGAGCAAATCCTGTACTTTCACCCATGAAAAAAGTGCATCACAGAAATGAAAATGAAGTGAGTTATGCCCGCTGAAAGCCCAAAAACTCGCGATTTCAAAAAAAGTGTTCGGCAAAACCCCCAAAATGTTCGAACGTGTGATTTTCTCGAAAAATGAACTTTGAAAAACGGTTTGGGCTTGTTAGAAAGAGCAAATCCTGTACTTTCACCCCATGAAAAAAGTGCATCACAGAAATGAAAATGAAGTGAGTTATGCCCGCTGAAAGCCCAAAAACTCGCGATTTCAAAAAAAGTGTTCGGCAAAACCCCCCAAAATGTTCGAACGTGTGATTTTCTCGAAAAATGAACTTTGAAAAACGGTTTGGGCTTGTTAGAAAGAGCAAATCCTGTACTTTCACCCCATGAAAAAAGTGCATCACAGAAATGAAAATGAAGTGAGTTATGCCCGCTGAAAGCCCAAAAACTCGCGATTTCAAAAAAAGTGTTCGGCAAAACCCCCAAAATGTTCGAACGTGTGATTTTCTCGAAAAATGAACTTTGAAAAACGGTTTGGGCTTGTTAGAAAGAGCAAATCCTGTACTTTCACCCCATGAAAAAAGTGCATCACAGAAATGAAAATGAAGTGAGTTATGGTCGCTGAAAGCCCAAAAACTCGCGATTTCAAAAAAAGTGTTCGGCAAAACCCCTGAAATGTTCGAACGTGTGATTTTCTCCAAAAATTAATTTTGAAAAACG